AAAAATTATATATCCGATCTCTGGCAATGGCTTACATATGCCTTTGTATGACGAAAAAGAAAACAAAGTGTTCTGAATGTTCCGTTTTGCTAATGATAATAGTCATGCTAACTTTCCCACAGTATCCGTGGTAGCCTGTAGTAGCAAGTTTCAACGTTATCTGATGTATCTTAGACGAGATATGGTAAAAAACCGACCGCAATTATCATATGGTCACTGCTGAGCTTCGTTGTCGAAAATTTCAACAACTATTAAGACGACTGACGCACACGACTGAAAAACGGCTAACGCACAATTGTAGAGCACGTTTAGCACTACAAATCTGTTTATCTAATTTTGCCTGGGAATATAGTCATTTTTCTTCCTAGTCATCAAAAGTTTACCATTTTTCATGCACTGATACTAATACAAGCACTACCACCAACCAACTGTCTATATTCAAAAGTTGGTTTATATAGAAATCGATAGCTTATAAAGAGAGGTATTGATTACATATATTGCTGTTGCTTGAAAGTAGATAGTGTAAGGAGAAAAGCTTTACAAGTTTAGCGCCCTTCACGGTAAAAGGCAATGTTTTGCTAATCTGAGGTATGTGCCACGTCTACTGCCCAAGGGTATAACTTTTTCGAAAAAGCAAATATATCTCAGTAGTCACGAAGAATAGCTGAATAAATACTGAAAGTGTCATCGAGTTTGAATAACATTTTACATATACGGGAGATTTCTGGTGGAATTACCCTTTTAAACTCAATTTTTTAGTTGGTGGTACATAGATGGAGGCCATTAAGAATTTTTTATTAAGTATAAAAATATATCTTTTCCTAAAATAATCTTCTTTAACATTTCTGTATATTTTATATTTTCACTAATTACCATCAGTACGTCACCGCCTCGATCATCTCGATCATGACGATACACATTAAATCCTAAGAGATGACAAGTCTTGTCTCGTTCATGGAGATGACATCGCACTCAGGATACAGGGATAATAATTCTTCTTTATATTGTCGGCCTGAATTAATATTGATATGCAGATATTTCACATTATTAGTATATTAATGTGTTATTTTCCTATACGAAAATTTTTTAATAAATCTGACAAGAATCTGATAAGATTCTTACTGGTTTCTTAAATAAGATTCTGCAGGAAAGTCCCAAGAATTTCATTAGGATATTATAAGAGTCTTATAAAAAAAGTCGTAGGAGTTTCATAAGAAAGTGATAAGAATTCTCATGTCATTCTTATCTGTTTTATACAAATTTCTTACGGGAAGCTTATTGGATTCTTACGAGATTCTGATAAGTGTTTAGTACTACATCGGATTGCGTTACTTGTAGTGATTAAAGAGTAATTGTGTTACAAAATGATGTTCATTTACAAAGTTTTTTCCTTATAGAAGTGTTATAGTTCCTCAACTGATATATATGAGCTAAGTACGTACTAAAAGAACTGATGACTTAAGAAATAAAATTTTGTGTGCGATAGTGAGGCGTGCAGGGAAGTTAGTTGTGAATATTTCCATAACAAGCCAAGCGGGTTTCTCAAAACTGGGAAACAAATAGCAAGAAAATCCGACGTAAAGGTAACAGTTTCCCGGTTCCTCAAAATATATCGAAAAAAATAAAGACATATGCGAAAAATTAGAAGTACTGAGTAGTAAGGAATATAGGCTACCTAGGTCAATAGTCTTGCTTCACACATGCCCGATTGTACCTGCCGCGATATGAACGCGGTAAAGTGCCATGTAAGTAGGTAATTAAGTATACCCGGATATCTTTCGGTGTAGGATGAGACAAAAAAATAATATGACCCGTTATTGTGACTTGCAACACGATATTTTTTATAAAACGTTTCGCAGTAATGGCGTGATCGCACGTGACTATTAAACAAGATTCTTGATTCAGACATTTCAAGCAAAAATTTAAAATTTTTCGGAGTCGAGAATCACAATATAAGATTATTTCAAAGCCATGGCGTGAATCGCGTTTTATGATTATTTTGATGCGAAGGTAAAACAACATGCGCAAAAGGATTCTTGAAGAAAAACGGGATGGAATCTCTTCATTTTAGCCAGGTTTTTTAATTATTAATGACCTATAGCCTCGTTTACTCAATCAATGAACAAAATTGGTGTATTCTCGCCATTTCTCAATATCATCGTTGGAAATTCGTTTAATTCTATGTCAAATATAGAGGCTAAAGTTTTGCCGAGTTTGAAAACATTTTCCAAGACTAATTTAAGCGTTGAACCAGAGCTGTCACAATCCTGTTACACAGCGTATCACGAAACAACAGTCAAAATATTAGTATTTATGTAAGTCAAAAACCCTCATAATATATGAGAAAGTTGGTTACAGATGGGTATGTAAGGATGACAATATGCAACGTAGTCTAAGTAAGTTGAGTACACATATAACGTCATCCGAGGAGGTTGTTTAAGTTGAAGATCGTTTCATGAAGCTTTGATCACCATTATACTGACTTTTTCAGCAAACTCGGCGATTTATATCAAATTAAATATAAGATCTTTACGAAGGTAATGGTACGGGTGTGGTAGATTTTCCTTTGTTCAAACATGTCATCCACGTACAATTTTGAAATGTGTATGTTGATGGATAGTAGCTAATACACGTATATTGCTGAAAACGAAAAATGTTCCATTTTTTCGCAATTTCCATGTTGTAGCTGGCGCCTGCTCATCGACAATTTTTCGTTTTTAATAAAACAATTCAATTTTTTGAATTGTGGGCAGAGGGGGCCAGGAAAGGTGTTTCTAGGTGTTGATACAACTAGCCAAGCGCATTTGGCGAATGTGGAGATAAAGAAGAAAGAAAACTGACCGTGGCTGTACGTGTTTGACGGTCGCTCAAGCTCATCGTCAGCAGGGAAAGAAGGAAATAAAATTCCGCTCTTACGCAGCATATCTAACCTATTCGTACGTTAAATACGTAAGAAAGGATAAACGTTGAATACGCAACATATTAGGAGATGACACCACTCAATCTATCATGATACTTCTGAGTCACTGTGTGTGAATTGTGGTCTAATATTGAATAAAATAAGCTAAACCACTAAATTCTGTTGTTCTCAAGGATTTTTTCGTAATGGACCAATGACTGGATAGTTAATCACAATTACGATTATCTACTTCAACTGAGTTGCAGCTTTTATTCGTTCAGAAGCTTGTTCGCTCATTATTCATGGGTAGATAAATTCTACCCATCAGCCTCTACCCAAATATCATACGATAAGTTATGGTAAAGTATAGTATGAAAAGCAAAACGATTGTGTCATTTCGCTTCGCCACTAAATCCGTTATTCGAAATAATGGTATATACATACGAAATACGTTAACTTGAACAAACCAGGCTCGACCTTATGAATGAAAAATGGCGGTCCATTATATTAGAATCATTGAAAAAGTTCACTTTTTTAGTCCATTATTTTGAACGAACGTGTGTTGGTCGTCACGTGATTTAGCATTATTTAATTAATGTAAAAACAAACTTTGAATAGTGTGAATATCTTGAGAAAAAAAATGACAACAAAACGTAAAGCAACCTCCATAAAACAAGTGAAAAGTGCTGAAAATGCTTTGACGGATTATACCAACGAATTGATGAATCAAGTTAATACCGCTATTATTCGATTGCCATCTGAAATTACACTTGGTATCGACATTGAAATAATAAAACAGCGGATAGTCGAAGCGTTTTATGCCTATGAAGCCTATTTACCAAATTTTGTTGTAGATCGAGATATGCCAAATGTCATATGGAGCTTGGGATTTGTCCCATCTCATAATGAAATGAACCAACTTCTACTGAGTTAGTTTTTGTTTCTTCTTCAAAAATTTTCATTGTCCAATCGTACTCCTTTATTTTTCATAAAAGGCATGAGATATCATTCAAATTCAAAGACACAAGAAAGAGAAGACTTAGGTCAAGTTTAAAATTTTTGCGCATTTGTTTTTATTTGACATATTTTGCTGCTTTTTAGATCCTGATCATCATTTGATACATATATTAGATTTTAGCGATGTTATTGTACCAAAAATGGTTACTGGAATGTACAAGGAAGCGGATGAAAATTATCTGTTGAAGTGTTTCATAAGACTGGATCAACATCAAAAAGGTTTTCTACATAAAAAATTATATGTTCAAACATTACGTGAAATGGAAGATATTTTAGATGAAAATGAGGCACAAGATTTATTACAATTTTTAACCAAAGAAGAAAGCTTAAATCCAACAATTGGTAAAGAGTTTTTTGAATATAAACGTTATATTAAACATTTATTACCACAACGACATAAGATCTATTTGGATTTGGGAGTTTTAAAATCGGTTTGAACAATGAATTTTTTTTCAAAATATTTATAAGGTACTGTAAACACTTTGCAAGTTTGATTATAGTTTATTTGTCAAAATTGGCCACCTGTTTTCCTTACTATCTCTTAATTCATCCGTTTTGCAGTCAATGTATGATAATGATCTTGATATGTACTGTATAGTATAATAATATTTTTTTCGTTACTGATGAGTATGTCAGATTATTACAGTATCACTTGCCACATCATGTAAACTATTTACATATCTTTTCTCTTTACTATTTAGCCATTATTTTAGTGTTTATCCATCACTAACATGTATCTGTTTCTTGTTATAAGCTACTTTACAAGAAGATGGATGATACATGAACGTGCTTTATCATAGTTTATGTCCATATTTTATGAATTTAAAATCTTTTACATAAAAAATATATAGTCTAAAATGAAGATCTAAATATTGAAAACTAAGGGATATCTCAGTCCGTGTTATAACGGAGAGAGCGTTTGAGTTAGAGAGCTAGAAGTCTAGGAAAAAAAAGCTTTAATTCGTTTTTCTATATATAAATTTTGTATCAAATGAATAATGTTGTCTAAGAGTGAACCAAATTTCTTTCGATTAGTTTGTTTTTCCTTTAAATTATGACAAATCATCTTATAAAAAGATCAATAAAATGCGACATTATTGTTCTAACTTTGAAATATTCAAAAAAAAAATTTCTAATTTTGTGCATCAATCATTGAATGTTTTTTCTCTCTCTCCCTTTCTCATTCTTTCATTTGCGTTTAAGAAAAAAAAAAGAAAGACGACGTATTGATGATTTTGGTTTTGTTTATTTATCTAAAATAAAAATCAAAGAAAGAAACTATGTGCATTCTTGAGGTTCACCAAAAAAATGTTTTCCTCGAATTTGTACATAATTGACTATATGATATAGAAAAAGAAATCTTGGTACAATTTTTTTACAATGTAGAGTCTACATTCATTGAGAATGTTGATTGTTTGAACAAATCAACATGTATAGTCAGGAAAAAGTGTCTATAATGTTGAAAACCTCTTACTTTAGAACATATCATCTGAATCAGAAAACATTAGCAAGCACTCTTTCTATCTGATTTATTGAATTTTAACAAAAAAGTTCTCTGATGACCAAGTAGTTCGTCATCTTTTCTTATATTCATTATTTATCTTATCTTCGCATCAATCAACAATTTAAACCGATTTATGATACTTGTTCTTTTTTTCTCATTCGTTTGAGTACAAAATTTCAGATCACTAACATTTTTCTTTAAAATGCATGTTAATAGAACATGTTTTAGAGTGAGTAGTACAAACGATCTATTTTTATTTTACTGACAAGAAGGATCATTCACTCTTCAACAGAAGTGTGAACAAAACAAAAAAAAAAAAAGAGAGAATAACTATGAGTATAGACACTTTCGTATACGTATACAAAAATGATGATAATGATCAAGCAACAAAGAGAGAACTTTGAAAATCAAGGTAATCATACGACAAGAAGGACACATTATCACACTTTTGATGAAGAAGAAAAAAATTTTATTTTTATTAAACGATAAAAAAATAAGGAAAGAATAGAGAAGATCAATCATATCATTTGTAATTTGACTCTATTCATATTGTACATCTAACTATTTAGTTTGATGTCTTCTATGCTTTACAATTTATGAGTAAAATAACCGAGTTTATATGAACGATAGAGACATATCAGAGGATTAATAAAGAAGAAAAAAGAAGGAATACCAAACATTCATCTGATATGAGAGAGAAAAAGCTATATTCTATAATTATTGGTAGATTGATATCATGAACATTTATTTGAGACAAGGATCAAAACAAATATTTGAAACAGAAGAAAAAAAAATTAGAATTTTATGTGGATGTAGGAGAAGTTTTTCTCTAAAATCTGTTTGTTCTTTGAAGTACAATACGTATCTTGGCAAGTTCTAATTACTACACTACGATTTTAATAAAAATCATTTGATAGAGAAAGTCTCTCATACACAAAAATAGTTCTAATCATTTTAAAGTAGATAACACCAAGCTTTCTTTTATTAGACACCTGTATTTCATAATGTGTGATATATGGCAGATTTTTTTTTCTTCTTATTCACCATTCATAAAGTCCAGAAAAGTAGATGCGAAACAAGAAGAGAAACGCTGATATGTGTCTATCATAGTGTTCAATTGTGACTGTCATAAACAAGAGTACTTATGTACAATCATTTTTACTAAATAGTATTATGTAACTAAAAAAGATAATGTCATTAGTGTGTATGAGTACTAATAATTGTTGTTGATCAGATGATATTCAATGATCTTAACCATGACAAACAATTAGGCAATAGTTAATTACATTTTCACTCTCACTGTGTATACGTATAATAAGTGTTCAACAGTTAATATCGAATCGAAAATAATTAATAAAATTATTCATAACGTTTGCTGCTATTCTCATATATACGCTAAGCTCAATTACCAAATTTATTCATTTTCATCACAGCTACTCTGTTTCACATTATTTATCATAAAACTGTTTTGTTTTGTTTTGCCAATATATATATATCATGCAACAAAGTGCATATAAATGTAAACTAGTAAACATTCTATACACATAAAGTAGACATTAGCATGAGATAAAGCACATATAGTAGGCGTGTCGATCGATTAAGAACAATTAACACAAGCGGAACTGTGATTCGCATGATATGTATGTAATATGAGATGATGCCAAGTAAGTCATTTCCGTTATAGATCTATCCACGTACAATACCAAGATATGAGATAGATGATAATCGATCTATAGTAGTTACATTTTCATTGTTGATAATGATCTTAATAATAATAATAGTAAAACGAGAAGTGTAAAGTATATACACATACCAGAATAATTTTTAATACACTATATCGATCAGACATGACTTTTAGGTATTTATTTCAATAAGAATCGAATAGTCAGGTGAACAACATGCAAACACTAATGTATTTGTTAGGAAAAATAAACACTACTAAATCATGATAGATATTTTTATTTTAAAAAATATAAGTTAAAGATAAGCACGAAATATATAGACTGATCCAATTAGAACACGTGGTTATGATAAATGAAAGTGAAAATAAACGGATAATGTACAACTTTGTTCCTATTTATAATAGGGAGGAGCCAGTTTTATTCATCTTTCAAAAAAAAAGTTCTATAAATCTGGAATAATTGTAAAATCTATTTTTTATAAAATTTTTTACATTAATAAAAGATGAAGTTTTGTAGTGAAATGAAAAATTACAAAATTTCAAGAAAATCTCATTATATTGTTTACTATCATCACGCAGATACAAATGAGCAGAACTTTATAGGCAAAAATCTCATCTGATTGACAACTCTCAGAAAGATTTTATAAGAGTCATACAATGTCCAATTTTATAAATTTCCATTCTAAATGAGATCTATTCCATCTAGATAACTTTTTCTGGAATGTTTTGTCGGGGATAATAAGACTATTTTCAGAAAAAGAAAATCTAAAAAAAACCCAAATAATCAGCCTAAGGTATAAGTGATAATTTCACGGTTATAATACTATGATAAATATAACCATTATCGCTTTTAAAAATTTCTTTTTGAAGTGAATGATCAATTTGAAAAGAATCATTCTTTCTCGTTATTGATACCTTTCACGTAAATACATACGTTGTCTTGCATGAATATTACAATTTCCAGATTATGTTACACGAGTAGGTGTATCCCCACTTGACAGTAAAGATCAAAGTATAGATATGGTTGTGATATTATAATTTTAAAATAGATAACAATTGAAAATAGTGTGTTTGTCTCGTACTATTGACGGATGAGTACGTGATCAACATATTCACTCTCATTTTTGTTTTGTTTTCATGCGTGATGAAAACAGACTGTTGAGTAAAATTAATTAACTCTTTGTGGTTGTAAGGTAAAATGCTTCTTATTCTCTTTATGTTCACTAATGGAAAAAAAATTTTCATATGTATCTACGAACAGTCACAGATATCGATAGTGTTCTGCAAAAAGAGCGGTTCCCTTTTATGATATCAACATTACCGTATAAAATTTCAATTTGCAAGATATCTTCAAGGCAATAATTGTCATGCAGAATATTAATATCTATAGCGTTCTAAGACGGTGAAATTAAAAAGACAAAATGTCATATTAAACAGTTTATATTACCCGATTTGAATGCAAAATAGCGTTCCTTTATATAGTACTAACCTAATCGACAATCAGTTACTTTACTTTTTTGAAGTCCATACTGATTGCTTCACTAAAATTGACTCTTTCTTATCTTAGATACGATATTATATCGGTCACTTTTTTGCTATTGAATCAGATTTACTCCATATTAAATCACTATCTCTAAATTGTTTACCCTTCTCTATCTAGAAATATATCGGAAACTATGCCATTGTCTAGTCACATAGAGAAACGAATGTCAGTATACTTAAACTATCAATGAGTAGATATCTCGGAAGTTACAAACATACACTTTATTTTCTGTAATATCACCTCATAAACGCCAGTTAGTTAATGTTCGTCTTTTTCTCTACTAATTATTACACTTTTTGTTTAAATACAACTCATACGGGACTTATCATACATCTCTTCGTCAAGATGATTAAGTGTATTTATATTCTCTACTTCTTTCCATTTCTATTGGCAGAAACTATACTTTTATTACAAAATTACCAAACAAAATTTAAAGAAAAGAATGATCTTTTCTTTCTATTTCTCTCTCTCTCTCTCCACTCTCTAACAGAACATAGAAATCGTAGTATATTGGACAGAATACGAAAAGGCAAGGAAGTGCTAGAAATATTATTACACAGGTCGCGCTTATCACAAATAACAAACGTAAAAATAGAAAATATTCTCTCTTCTTCTTTTTTTTTTGCTTCTCCTACATCTATCGTCGTGTGTCTTACGCGTGTTAAAGAAGAAGAAAAAAAAAAAACGTAAAAATAATTACAGTAGTGTCTAGGTCAACGAACCAGAAGTGAGCAAAATCAATTTATAGTAAATATATTCTGGAAATGTTCATTTAAAAATTAAATTTTTTGGTATATCTTTAAAATTATGCCTACCGATCGAATTCATGTGGTTAATAATGAATATCGAAAAGTAAAGTATAAATAGTTGAATTATTATTTCAATATAATATAATTCATTGGTATTTTATTTAGAATACAAAACCTATTATGGAAAAACGTCGACGAGAAAGAATTAATAGAAGTCTTGAAGAGTTAAAAAATTTGATTTTGGATAGTTCTAGTAGTGGAGTAAGTAAAAAAAATCTATTTATTTATTATTATTCTTTTCTCAAAAAAAAAAAGTGATTGAATGACTTCGAATATTTTTAACAATTAATTGATCAACAAACAACGTTTTGATGACACTATTTTAACTGTCTACTTTATTAATTAAGTCATATAATAATGTATATATTTCTCTTTTTAGAATGTTCGAAGTCATAAATTGGAAAAAGCTGATATTTTAGAAATGACTGTAAAACATTTAAAACTTGTACATAAACAAAAACTTGTTGGTATGTGTTTTTTTGTTTTTTTTTAATTAACAAGTTAGACACAAAAGAAAATATATTTTATTTGTTTTTTTTCTAGCTGCTGCTGCCATTGATCCATCAATTATTTCAAAATATCGTGCAGGTTACGGAGAATGTGCAAATGAAATAATTCGATTTTTAACTAATACACCTCATATAGATTCAGAATTGAAAAATAAACTAATTGATCATTTATCGACTCGTCTTCAAACATTATCCACTTCTCGTTTAACAGACCGTAACAATAATAATAATGATCGTGTACATCATTCATCTCTGCCTGTCGCATATCTTTCTCCACATTATCTACAACAACAGTCTCAATATTATTCTTCAACACCACCAGTCTATGGAACAATTAAAAGTAATACTGATTATTCTCAAAAAAATCAAGTACATCATAATTCATCTGAACTATATATCGGTGGAAGAGAAAATTATTCAGTATTAGCAGCAAATTCGTCAACAAATAATCAATATATATTTATTTTACCACAAACTGATCCAACAGCAAATTCATCTGATTGTTCAAATTCAACGGACTCATGTTCAACACTAGATTCGCCTACGAAAGTATGGAGACCATGGTGATTTTTAAAAAACTGTACATAATCAATTATCATTGCATTTGTTCATGTTTGTTACTGTGTTTTATGTCGATTTTTTTTTTTAAATACAAAAACAAAAGATTTGCATTTTAATGACTAGTTGATTTTTGTACGTTGTACACTACAGAAAACTGTTCATTTAAATTGAACATCTAATAGATGTTTAAAACTTGAGAAACTAACTATTAATCGATACAATGTCTGTCTGATTTAAGCAGCGTCGATTGGTCTAATATTTGTCAAAAAAGACCACTTAATTTTCTTTTTCTTTTTAAACGAGAAATATCATCTTACTAATCCAGTTATACAATATTATGTGTTAATTAATGTTTAATTTGTACAGACAGAGTTAAAAGTTAATTTCGTGGCATTTTTGTCTTCTTAGTGTGAAAATAATGTTAATCCAAAAATCAAACATACAAACAATTTTGAATATGTGCGTGTTATCATATAGTTTCTAACAAAAAAAAAAAAAAAAAAAGACAAGATGAGTCGTTTTGTCATGTACAGCAATAACAAAACACATTCATACAAGTAGATTTGTCACCTAGGAAAAAATGCGATGTTATCTGCTACATAATTACATGAACATAGTCAAAATTTTCTTCTTCCCAGTATAATTGAGAAGTTTCAAAAAGCTTTTTCAGTTTAAATCGATTGTAAATTCAGACTCTTCATAGTCGCAATATGTTTTGGATCAAGAAGATACTAGTGATACCATTTAATCATTGGTCCGTTTGTAGAACTTAAAAAATTAGTAGAATTTTTTAGAGTAAATAAATTCAGAATTTGTTGCCACTATGCAGAGTCCGAATTTTTGCAATCGATTTAAACTGAACAAACTTTTTCAAATTTCTCGATTTGATTTATATGTCCAAAATATTAAACGAAGGTAAAGTCTAACATAGTAGACTTATATTGTAATAAATAAGTAAACTTAAAAAACAATTCGATACCGTATAGATTTGAACGTATTTTTCAAAATATCTTTCCTTTCTTTTTTCAATTAGTGGCTATTAATTTACAATTTTTATGTTGACTTTTATGAATTTTTTCTTGTTGATCGATACAAATATGTTTGTATTGTATGACTTGACTACTTGAGAAAAAGTTAAAAAGACAAATGATTTTACTCTACACTTAATCATCATCTAGTTAAAAATATATAGGTACATATGAAATGAAGATTCAATTATGTTTCTGACATTGATACTGCCAAATATTGAATGAAAAAAGGGGTGACTATAGTTAGTTGTAAACGATCAATGATTAATGAACATTCAAAAATACTTAAAGTAAAAAACTACGAGTAGTTAACGTATGAAGACGAAGAAGAATGAATGAATGATGAAATAATTGATACATATATAGTAAATACTAAGAACTATAGTTAAGAGAGAGAGAGAGAAATGAATGTTCACGTTTTTTTTCATTTGGTTTATGAAAAACAAAAAACAAAAATGAGTGGTCATGATTCATACGGTTAACCTCAGTTTCTCTCTCGCTCTCTTTCTTTAGACAAATGCAAAAACATTCGTTAGTACACATGAAAACAGGAACTGATTTTGATGTAAAAATATAAACTGTCATTTGGATCCAAAACATATTATTTATTTAGTATTCAGCAATCTAATGATTTTTATTTTCAAGTGTGTTATATTGAGAGACAAAGATGACAAGTATACAAAGATTGTGTTTACCTCTTCTATTCTATTTTTACTTGGTATTCATTATTTTTAAATGTTATTGCATGGTCATTGTTAGACATTCTAAATTCCAAGGGATAATTTTACTATTAGGTACACTTGATGTCTGTTCATTCTTCTTTGAATGATAATAGACTGAATAATATAGAAAGAAAACAAACGTAGTTCTTGTTGTGAAGAATAAAGAAAAGTAACCACTTCCGACTATTAGTATACTAATAATTAGTGAATAATAGACGAGATGTTCCTCTATTTGATTGAATACAAGAAGTTGAATTTTTTTGTAAGACTTAAGTGCAAGTGAGTAAATATCTTCTGTTTATTATACGAATATGAGAAGTTATGTTACGAAAATTGATTGTTGCTGATCTCACTCATATAATAAATTCGTGATAAATTGTGTGAACTACGCATGAATTTTCTGACAAAGTTTGATTAATGAGTTAAAAGAATATATTTTCTATTCTCTCCTCCTTCGCTTTTTTCGCTTCTAAAAGGATGGACCATTAACAATGTTTAACAAAAATTGATTTGATTAATTTCATTCGTCTACAGTTAATACTAACTAACTATTCACTTGATTACAATGTAATATGTTTTGGAGATATATTCATATTCAAATAGAATCGAAAAATCGTGATACAATATCTGTAAGATTGAAAATACTACCAACATCACCCAAATCTAGTCCCAAGTTGAAATTTGAAGTTATACGATAACTGTACATCACATACCTATTATTGACAAATGAATCAAATCTAACGTGATGTATTACGCCTAAGAAATAGTAGAAACATCAAAGACTATCGAAGACGTCCCATCTTTTGCAAAAGAGAGAGAAAGAGAGAACGGTTTAGTAAACTGCGCTTTACCTTAAGGCTATCTATCTACATTTTCTTCATCAATTGGCATGATAAGTTACTTTCGAGAGCGGTACTTGTGAACAGATAAAGAAGAAACAGTAAAAAATTTCTAATTTGATGATAATTTGTAACATTTGTAAAAATCAAAAACGATTAAAATTTTTGTCAAAATATATAAATGACAAAACAATAGGAGACAACAAGAAAAAATATGTTTCTTTATACAAAAGTGAATGTAGAAATACCGACCCTCAAAGCAATAATAAAAGAAAAAAACAATCTCAAAAAATGTATGACTGATAAGCAACGACAATCATATCAACAGTAAGAAAGCTTATTACAACCAAATGAACAGGTAGGTTCAATTGAAATGATGTGATGTATTTTCTCGATACAAAAACACAACATATCACCTCTGAAAATAATATATGGATCTGAAAATAAGATCATAAATATCTTCATTTTATCTATCTCTAAAGTAGAAATTGGACTAAGAGCTTTGAGATAAGAGATGGTGCGGTTGAAGAATGATTCTCCTAGACTTTTTCGTTTATTTTGCATTCTTCATATGGTCGGAATGACCTCTTGAGAAGGGCAGAATTAAAGCTTGAAAGTGCAGAAATCGGATTGTCCATATAAAAAAATGGCTGTCAGAAAATTTTGGTTAATTCCTAAAGATGTTAATTTTAGAATACTTGCAGATGGTGCCACCACAACGGCACGACTTGTAATCCCAGACACAAAAAATTGGCCCTAAAACGCGTTAAATGTTTCATTTGAAACGAAGAAAACACGTTATAACAGTCTTTGAACACCTTAGAACGCGTTACTTTTGCGTTACAACGTACAAAGAACGCGTTTTCAAATGGCCTAGAACGCGTTCCGTAGCGCGTTTTTTGATCGTTAAAAACAGAATAAAAACGCGTTTCGGGATCGAGTCTGCAACTCCTGAATTGATCTAGAAACCACAGGCGAGACTTGGTTACCTAGTAGGACTTGATCTAAAAATAGTTGAAAGTCTATAATAAAGGAAGTACAAAACTGATGATCTAAAACTGAAAAAGAACAAAAAGATGGTATTTCTTCGATATTTCGATTGTGCTTATATACTCGGCTGCTCGCAAAACAAGACGGTGAATGATTAGTTGCGTTTTTCAATAGTTAAAAACAGAATAAAAACACGTGAGAACGAAAAATGAGACAAACGTTATGGAATGCGTTTACACGCGTTGTATCCGGTAGAAAACAGGAGTAACGCGTTTTTTTGCCGTTTCTAACGACTTTTTTGTGCCTGGGATGACTTCTCATGTAAATTGCATTAGAGATTAACCATTATTTTGTGATAACCATTTTTTATATGGACAATATGATTACTACACGTTGAAGCTTTAATTCTGCCCTTCTCATGAGGTTATTCGGACCATATGAGCTACCCTGACTCTTTTGCTTTTTACTTTAATTTTTTCTATTATTAGATTTTTCATAAAATTTTCCGCAGAGCAAATGTCAAATAGAGTTTTGTTTGTTTGAAGTTATTTCCTTTGAGTTAAAAACATTAAGCTCGTGTTTTTCTGAAAGAATATTAATTTAAAAGCGGTTGTTTCTTTATTACGCCATTTCCACATATTAAAATAGTAATTTTTATAATCGTTATACTTTTGTAGCGCTTGAGAAACCGATGAATTATACGACAAAATATATAAAGTAAAATTTTTGATAGGTTTTTCTTATACCATGCGACAGCTTTTAGTTGTGTGAAAGAATTTATTACACGTTTGTCAGATATATGAGTTCTGACGAAAATCAAACTTCAAAATTTTTAGGGTAAAGTTAATTAGAAAGTGAATCATTTTCACATATGTTTCATACACTTTATACACTATTTATAATTTTCCATTACTCTCTGATTGTGAATAATTGTCTACTATGGGCAGAGTAACAAATTGAAGTATTTCTTAAAATACACTAACTCGGATGAGACCATAAACATACGAAGGATAACATTATCTTTAAACACAATATCTCAAAAAATCCTAATTTTTATACTGATGATATCGATGCTCGTTATTCAATGCATGATCCGAATGTTTTAAGTTGTATCAGTCCAATCAAAAACGTGTTATGGAAATACCTTTAACTCAAAATACCAATTTCTAGACAATCTTCAATATTACCAGAATGTTGTACTATTTTAAAGAAGAGAAAATGGAATTGATGTTACTGCTGCGGTTCCTGTAATTGATTCTATAAAACAACTGTTATATTTTGCTCGTTTATCTGCATGTCCGTCATAAATAAAATGGGTAATGATCTCCGGTTAACCGACGCAAAGAAGAACTATTTGAATGAATGTTTAGATATAGAAGTTTATCAGGCAATATTACAATCATTAACTTACTGCTCCATGATTGTATCACATAATGATTACCATGCAAAAGACGATGATGATTATGAACCTAAAGTATGACTGTTCTTGTTGTTTTCTAGTCTTGTTGAAAGATAAACAGTATATAAAGTATGTGAAACGAACAAATTCTCCATCCCATATTAGGATTACGCTCTATTTCTATAAGAAAATATAAGAATTTTTCTTTGCCAAATCGAGACCACTTTCTAAATCTGATTAATAAGCACGTAAAAATAGTGATCTCAATCACAAAGGATTCCATCAATTACATAGTTACAAATATAGTCACCGAAAATTCTACATGCGTTTAAGATGTAGACATGATCGCCTGCGAGAGTTTACTACAAACTTTTATCTTCCAAGTGTACTCAGAAACTAAAAAGACCTAATTACGGGTAACTTCTCATGTTTAACATGAAGGCAAGGTTAGTTTGTCTATAATAATTAACAAAAAGATAGAGTCTTATGGAGATTTCTAGAAAAGCGATTAAAAGGGAAACATTCGAAAAAAATTAGAACGTGGAAGATGGACGTCGATTAATATATGCGATCACAATATCTCCAATAAAATACACGCAGATTTTATAAGACGGATTACGAGGTATATTTTCGCAGAAACAGATTCTACGCCTATGCTTCTTATGAAGAAACAACAAGTGCTGAAGATCTGTTTCTTTGATTATAAATGAAATTATATTTCAGCATTGACAATTGTACTTTAGCATTTCAGATGGCTATTATAAGTGACAAGTGGGAGCTTTTACACACTTTAAGTGGTATTACATGATACATATATCTCCTAAGTCATGTAATATAAGCTGTGCATAGCTACTCAATACTGTAATAATAAATAAGAATTCGTTTGAAAGTACAAGCACTAATCTTTCTATTACAAAGATACAAAATTTTTCTCGTGGAAGTCAGTATTTATGGAACATCCTTTAAACACATTATCTTATTCTAAACTTTTCTTTTGTCTAGGACAAGTCTATATTTATAAATACAACATATGGTACACGTAAAAAATAGAACATAACTCTCTTTTTCTTTTACAAGGATAACAACACTTTAAAAGAAAAACTATAGAAAAAACAATTAGTAATAAACTCAAATGTTGACTTTAATTAAATTAACAGAAAAATATTTTTATACACTCAGGTAACGATGTACCGAAAAGTGTTACACAAAGAAAAAAAGAAAGATAGAAAAAAAGAAATATCACATAATCTATTGATTATCTTTCAAATACAACAGAAACGTTTGCTGTAGAGAAATGTACTTTCACACACGTACATGAATATTTTACTTATCTGTATCAAGTATTGAGCAAATTCAAAGAATGAGATTTGTTGATTGAATCAAAGAAGAGTTTATTGTTTATTCATTTTTTCTTTCTATATGACGATGTCGTAGATCAGAATTCATTTTATAGGAATCTGGTATTTTTTGCTCAATCATTTCTTCCTCATCTTCACCGGTTTCTACCTCTTCTTCTGCCTCTTCATCTTGATCATCATCCTCAGTATTGGACTCAATTTCATTATTTGATGATATCGTGCTATTGTTTTGTGTTTTTACACGGTATGTTATATCGTTCGAAGAAGGGGTGTTTTTGTTTTGTTCGGTTATTGAATGATCATAAATTGTTTGTTGTTGTATTTCATTGTCATCCTATTAACACAAGAAAAGACAAAAGAAACTCGGTCATTATCTTGGCTATACCATTTATTTATCTACGTACCAATTCTTCTTTTAAATCATCTGGTATATTCGAATAATCAGTTGGAGTTGAACTTGAACAATAATCAATCAAAAGAAGCACTCCCTAGAGCAATAGTAATTTGAAAAAAATGATGTCTAAAAAAATTATTTACCTGTACTTACAAAAACCACGCACAGACCAAGAATAATAACGATCAATGCAAATGTAATGTATATTAACCACGATGGCCAAAAATAATCAACTAACAATGTATAATAAGCTTGCTATAAAATATTCGTGAATAAATCAAGCAGTTTAATGGTATTTTAAGGTATCTAAATGTAAAATGGTCCTTACTTTAACGTGAAAAGATAGTTCAAATATGCCACTAACAATTGACATTCTAAATAGTAGAAAAAGAATAATGAAAGAAGGCACTTTAGTACTGCTGATTAACGACTTGTCTAAACGCTTTCAAAACGAACGAACTATTTAATTCTTTCTATATATAAATATCTTTTAAGTGAATAAAAAACAAAACGCAAATGAACAGTTAATACTAACAGAAATGAATCTGGAGCTAAATACCATCGTACAGGCTTTGTTCGCTGCCATTCTTGATGTTCGATATAGGCTTTCAATCCATTCAATGATCGTTCACCATTATATTCTCGAAATATACCACCACGAACACTGAAAAAATTAACATAAAATATAACTAATGAACAGAAAGTGCGATTGTTATTCTAAGAAGATTATTTACTAAACAAAATCATTTTATACTTCAATGAAGCATTAGTGAAATAAAAGGTTTATGATGTTACTTTCATGATGTTTTATACGTACTAGTATATTGTCGGTAATAATGAGATACGAAACCGTCCACTTAATGATGGATATTCATTTATATCAACTTTGGCAACTTTAAGCTCATTTTGAATCATTTCTTTAGAATATTGTTCCCATATTGATGAAAAACGTTCGCACGCTGGACACCATGGTGCATAACTGAAATAAAGAAAAACGAGAACATAAAAAAACGAAGATATCATAGAATAAAAAGAAAATTAAACTTTACAATTCTACCATCCATTGACCATACAACATGTCTTTCCATGTTTTATTGGTTAATGATACTGATTCAGTTTGAATAAATGGCAATAATAACAATAAACAGAGTGACAGGAATAAATTAATAACTATCTTTTCACGAAACATCTAAAATAGCGAAAAATAGTTTTTAAACGAGACACACATTGCTCTGTTAGAATAAATTAGACATTTACAAAAAAAGGTTCTCTAGTTGAGAATAGTATATATCTCGGAAATTCTGTCGATAATTATTCGTATTTAAATACTTGTCATCCGATAGAGTTGTTTTAGTAAAACGTCAATACTTGTAGAGGAATCTGCTATAAATTCGATGAGTCGCAACGACCTGCGTACATATAAGAGTGAGTTTCTTCAGCCTGAAAAGTTTCTCATTATTTTAACTTTTATTTTAACCTTCAAAATAAATGTAACATAAAGTAATTAAATTTTTTTTCTTCTGTCACTTAACTGTGTTGTGTTGCTGCGTTCATCGAAAACAATGACTCATTGTCAGTCTCTCGCTCCCTAATGGCGAAAAATAAGGGCCATTCATGATAGAATAAAAGTGGCATCTTTCGATGGAAAAAAGATCCAATAAAATCGAAATCTCACTCAATGACTGATCATAATTCCTTTCGTTTTGCTAAAGTGTATTATTGCTCAGAGAGCTCAATACAAGCAAGATAGATTATTGCCATCGAAAGATCATATTAATTGTGAACCTACTCTATTATTTTCTTACACAGAAACAACTTCTACACCGTACATGTGATCTTTACCAAACTTTCGAGAAATATAGGGGGGGGGTTTCAGATCATGTCATGATTGTAGATTATGACAAAATGACAGATCGAAATAGGGTAATTCTTTCGGTTCTCTCCCACACTTTACATGAAGGCCTGCCGCAAAAACCGCGACATATCTCATAGGTGTTTGAAATCCTGAGTGTTCCAGAAAACCTACCAACTGGAAAGCACGTTGAAGTTTTTTTTAAACATACCATTCGGTAGAACGGTCATTTTTCTACAAAATGACATTTTCCACGTTTTTAAGTTAAAGAATGACCGCGTTGCAGTCAATAAAGAATTGTTGTACAGCGACGTCAGTGAAATCATGCATGTTTCAACCATTAATGCGCTCTTTTCGAGTTTTTAATGCGATTTCATTTGGCTAAGCAATGTTAATATCGAAAATATGTCATTTTGTGAAGAAATAAACGTTCTACCGAATGGTATGTTTAAAAAAAATTTTCAACGTGCTTTGCAGTTGGTAGGTTTTCTGGAAAACTCAGGATTTCAAAGATCTATATTTCAGAACCCCGAAGATAAGGTATTGGGATCTCAGTTGAGTCATAGGTTTCAAAACCTGTAGAGTCCGATAATGTACATTGGGGTCAACAAAATGGGGGGGAAACGTAGTTAAAAATAGCTTGGGGGGGGGCTATCAAAAATCGAATAGAAGCCGTAATGCTTGTGAAAGATGACTCTCATGAGACTTACCAGAGCGATGTTGACAATTACAAACTATATTTCTAGATCGACTAACGACGATGAATCTGATACACATATTACTTTGGAGTTTAGAGTTCGATTTGATGGTAAAACACGCATTTCAATACCGCGGATTTTCATGATTTTCACCATCTTAGAACAAGTGCAGTAGAGCAATGAAGCATTCTGAAATATTTTGAAATGAACTATTTTATTCCTTGTTATCTCTAGTCTATAGTCTACACTGTAAAGTCGAGAATTATTTATAGAAAATGCGATTTTCAAAAAGTCCATATATAAAATCCTCACGAATTTTCCAGATTATAGAAAATCCAGCACTATTTTCAAGAAAGTTGGAAAATCGACATCGATTTTCTACATTGTTGAGAATTATTTATAGAAAATTCTCGGCGAATTTTCGTCTAGAAAATCCTCAGGGATTTTATATATGGACTTTTCGAAAATCAAAAGTCGGATTATTTTCTACTTTCTAGAAAATCCTCAGCGATTTTCTAGATGATGAGGAAGAACAATTTGAATGAGAATGCTGATAATCAGAGACTTGCCTGAAAATGGCTGGACATAAACTTTTTCACGATTATTAAAAGCTATTGAACTTCGAAGTTGAGTGGGTGTATTATTTCAGCTTATTGAATGACAATATGAATCTTACTAATGAAAACCAAATTCGACATCGCTCACCTGTTGAACTACTGTTATTTTATTTAAAAAATGAAGAAAATAAATGTGAATTGTTATGATCATGCCTTTAAGTTAATATAACCAAGTACATTTTGGAAGATGCTAAATTCAGATATAAAAATGAGGAATATTAGCAAGAGCAAATCGCTTTGCGATCTTCAGAAAGTTGCGGTGGAACTCGACTTTGTCTTAACCAGGCAACTCAAGAACCTTTTCAGTACCTCTTTGTGATCTCCAAGTGTCATACAGCAACAATACTTCTCGAAGAATATGCTAGTTTGCAAAAACTCAGAGAACTTTCCGAAGCCACTAACATTTCCGATGTTAAATACTAAAACAAGCAGGGATCTGTTGCAATGTATAGGCTTTAATAGATGTGAAAGAAGCAAGAAAAAAAATCACTGAGTCGTCTTCTTAGAAAATCGAATTCGATTTTCCAACTATTTAGAAAATCGCTGTCGAATTTCAAGAATGCTGGGATTTATTTATAGAAAATCGATTTATTTTCTAAAAATTAGAAAATCGCTGTCGATTTTCCCACTTTTTAGAAATTCCTTATCGATTTTCTGGCAAATGAGAAAAGTCAATTTATAGAAATCGAGCGGATTTTCTATAAAGTAGAAAATCAACGTTTTCTAAACAGTCAGAAGATCGCTGAGGATTTTATAACAGTTGGAAAATCCTTGGCGATTTTCCAGATCGATTTTCTATAAAGTAGAAAACAGTTCCAAATTACAGTGTAAAGCGTTTATGTTTGTCACTTCTGTCATTTCTGAGATAATTAGGTATGAATTGCGTCTTGGAACCTATAAAATCCCCAAATGTCGGAACTCCCCAGAACCCCATGCCGATATTTTAAAATTTTTTAAATGATGCATTCTTTAAATGCTCTTTCAAATGAGATATGTCGCGATTTTTGCGGCAGACCTTTATGTAAAGTGTGGAACAGTACCGAACGAATTACCCAATAATGAGTCGTTCGAGAGTTTTACGTTGCATAAGCGCTCAGCGAGACAGCAGCAAAATAATCTCGACTACTTCCT